GTGCCAAAAGTTCAAAGAATTGTTCCATCGTAACACCAATAGGTAATGAGTAGCGTTCGTAAGCTTAGATATGAGCGTTCGGTGTTTCATAAACAGCAAATACGTTTTTCGGCCGCCGCAACGTTCTCGAACTTAACATATCTACTACGAAAAGGCGCGAGTAGGTATAGGGGTAGGCGCTTCGTTACCTACCGAATAGTATAGGAACAAAGTTGAAGAGATGTTTTTGATTGATTAGTGATTCCGGGCGTGTCAACTGCTAAGGCCATTAGTTCCGCACGAGGTAGTGCACGTGTCCATCGCGGGAGGTGGCGGTGATGTTCCCCCGCCGGCTGTCGCGACGTAGGTCGGCTTGCGCGGCTTTTCATCTACCAGGTATCTCCTATAAGCGGGGCACCGTCCCAGCCAGGAAAACTCTAAGCTCCCGACACGTCTCCCGATAAGTGGGACAGTGTAGTGCACGTGAGTGAAAGTGTATGTAAGGAGTGAGGTTAGGAAAAGGAGCAAGGAAAGATTACGCAAGGTCTGTGACCCGTTTGTTAGGGTACTGCTCCGGCAATCGCCTAGTATTGATCGGAGAAACCACCGGAAAACTACCGATCACAGCAACCGACAGCTTGAATTCTCCTCCAGACAGCGGCAGAATTCGACATAGCTCTCTTCCTAGTGTCGAAAGCCCAAGACTGAAGAGCTCACACGTTGGGAAAATCGACAGTTTTGGCCCCTACTTCAGTTTTAACCTCTGGGAAAAGTCGTGGGCCCAAAGAGTGTGGAGACGGCCAAAACGGTGACGAATCCCGGACGTGTCTGAGCCTCTTTAGACGGCAACTGGGACCAATTCCATGAATAGACCTCGGTTTGGGGTGGTGGTGGTGGTGGGGGGGGGGAATCCACACATTCGGTAAGCGATGAGTAGCGAGCAGCGAATATATATTATGGACCAGAAGGACACTGAGTTTCACCCACGTCTAAATTAGGGACCAACCTAGAGAAGGGCACACGTAAATTGGGGACCGACTTCATCATCCCCTTACAGGTAAAAGTAGACGGCTACACTTAATTTTCGAAGAATAGTTTTCATAGCCATTTTTAAAACAGAATTTACTTTCCAGTTTTTCAGACGTAGGTTTAGTATGTTGCTTTCAAAATATGGTTTGGTTAACATTGGTTTTCATTCGATTGAATCATTCGTTCATTGAATCAATTCTGCTTATCTGACCATTTTTATACTCTCATTTTTGTCAGCTAATTTTCTATAACACTGACCATGAAATTTGGACACTGTTGCGTTCTTTGCTTTTTATTTCGATATAGGAACAAGCCTGGAAGATTTTCAATAAGGCACAAAGAAAAGCTAGACAGCAGCGCGGTGGCGGCAGCCTTCTTAAACCGCTTACCTGCTCAACCAATCCTTTTCTTTACCTGGATTGGCTTGTTCCTCATTTTACACGTAGAATTAGAAAGTAAATTTTGCGAGAATAGATGAAGGGGTTATTTGGCCTGCAGTTTAATTATGGCCGTAGCGAGGGACCACTCGCCGAATTCCGAGAAGTGGGCTAGCGTTATGCCGAGCGCCTAACATTCGGTGCTCACCATACCGGCAGCGTATTATCGGTCTTGTGGGCACATCAAAGGAAGCGAACATCCGCCGAGGTCCTCGGCTACTCGGAATTGCAATATAGCACTACAGCACGCACTACAGTTCTTTGGTTTAAGTGTCTAGATTGACGAGTGACGAACTAAATTAGAAACCAGAAACAATCAATATGCGTGGATAAACTTTAAGAACAGTTGCACGAAAAACTAAACAGTAGTGGCAATACTACTCTATTGCATACTAAGAGTGTTTGAAATCAGAATATTTGAGATACCCATTGTCGCGAATTCTGTCGGCTCACTGAACCAATGTACAACTCGGCGCCTGTCCGCAAGCGATCTCTCCGGCGCGGCGAGGGGAAAAAGTCGCGAGTCCGACGAAGTGGCACAGCCCCGCCAGGGCGGTCGGCCGGCCGGCGTGAGATCTCGGAGCCTCGTCCTCCGCCAGCAGCCGCCGCCGCCGCGAAAGCGATGAACGCAGCCTCCGAAGCAGCTCAACTCGCCACTCCGCGCTTCGCACTGGCCTCATGACGGAAGTGTTGGCGGCAGGGGAGCTTCAATATTCGCAAACGAGAGCAAGCTTTCGGAAGCATCGTTCGGGTTACATTTGCGTTTTATATTTTGGGGTTTGCTACCTTCTACTACAAGCCGAAAGGGAGAAGACATGTGAGAAGTCCACTGAGAAGATAGAGTGAGCAGTTGTCAGGAACCGGATCAGACTGAACAAGTCTAGTCCTTGCAGTTGATGGTGATGATGATGATGATTTCGGGGGAATTGTTAGGCAAAGTTGGAGTTACATTTGCAGTAACTACTCAGTGAATTAATTGAATGCAAATTGCAAATGAAAATAGTCTTGTAGTAAAACAATACGGCTCATCATTATCATGTGTTACTTAAGAAATAGAAAAGATGTCGTTTTCAGAAACTTTTGAAGAAAGGTAAACATCTCGAAGAAAAGCAATACTGATTATAGGTTAAACTGAAAGAAAATGTTTTGTTAAATACAGCCTAGTAAGAATTATTTATAATAATATTACATGAACTATTAATAATTACGGTAATAGAGGTTCTAAAAGCTAAACACCCGTCCCGTAGAAACCAGCTACTGTTGCTGTATAAAACAAAAACTTTACTTATGACGATACGTATTTTTAAATATTATTTTATTTGCCGCAGCAAATTCAATTTCCCAACCAAACGACATTGTTCTAAAGTGAAAAGAAAGAAAAAAAAGACATTTGATTAAAATCCGCCCCCTAGCCATATAAATAGACTTCTTTTCTCTGAGACCGGAGTGGTCGAGGTTCCAGTGCATGGAGCAGGCTTGCGCGTGGCCGCGTGGCGCGGCGTAGCGGGTGGCGTGGGGTGGGGCGTGGAGGGAAGGGGAGGGGGTGCACCAAGCACTTGCAGCGGGCAGCGACCGGCGCGCCGCGGCGCCAGGCACCGCCCCCCACCCCCTCCTCGGGAGGGGCACAGGACTCCATTCACGCGCGGAGGGGCCTGGGCCCCTGGCTCTGCACTTCCTTCGCGATGCCAGTGCAGACACTAGCAGTGCAGCATGTCGCAGACTATATCGATCTCTCATCCTTTCATGGTCCCCCCCCTGACGACTGGAAACCGATTTAGATGGGGCCGTGTACACAAGAAAGCAATTGTAACAAGTGAATGGTTGTTATTTAGACTTATCTATTTCCCGCTAAAGAAACGCTGATGAAACTGATATAAGCTCTGTATTAAAAACCAAGCTACCCTGGTACATAATATACAAATAAACGTACACATATTATGAGATCCTGTCTTGTTTTAACAAGATGCTACAACAGCATCACAATGAGCATACATACAAAATTATTAACCAAAATACTTCACAACACTTAAAACAATAATTTACACGACATGTGATTACAAACCGTTGCATAGTCGACTTAACAAAAATTCCAGAATTGTTTTGGCACTGTCTGTGAAAAAAAGCGGGCAACTAAAAAAAAAATTCTTCAAAAGTTAGTCCTTAGTTTTTTGTTCTGTTTTTGTATAATCTACTAATTCTATTAAGAAGAGATACACGATTATTTAATTCCCTTGACAGTCCACCCAACGTAACCAGAGGTAGACTCAAATATGAAGCAGAGATACTAAGGGCAAGAGATGCTCCCACTTCCGGTAACTTGCACTCGTGTTTTAAAGGAAATTGATTAGTCGCATTGTTTTAGCATTTTTTGGTTTTAGTTTTTTTTATCGAATAATTTTAGTAACATTATTTGACGACTAGTTTTCATTTCGTAGCTTAGCCACAATTTGCATTTGCACTTGCAATACACATTCGTTGCGTGATCATTTTTTGTTGTTGTAACAAACTTTGAAAGTTTGAAATTACGAGAGTAAGGAACTACAGACAATTTAGACATATCTGACACCCACTTCTCAATAAAGAAAACATAACTTTGTGTATATGAATCGATTCCAAATCAATTACTATTTGAAAAAAATCTTAGAAAAAATCTGTAAACACTTAGCAAAAAACTAATAAAACAAAGACTTAAACGAAAATTATTATTTTCTCACTTAAATAGTAAATGCATATGTATTGTCTCATTAAATTGTAATATTACTCAACAATAAACACTGTTTAAATGCCCATAAGCCATACATTAGATCTTAACAAGACTTATAATATTGCTGAGACTAACTAAAACCTTAATGAAAATGATCAAATATGCAACATTTTAAAGATAGCAAACAATTCACCGTGGCATAAAATAACAACTATTTGGTAATAATACAAACAAAATAAATTGCTACACATTCTGATGACATAAAAATTTTATCCCTGCTCTTCAGAATTCAGTCACCGTGAATCCTGCAAAAATGTTTTTGTCCAGACACCGTTACTCGGGTCTCAAGACCGGTTCCAGATGCAGCAGCAGTGCAAATGCTGAACCTGCGCTCCTTCCATCACAGTGCACTAATATAAATAATATCAATGTATTTTAACAAACAACTCATGGACTTCACTTTTCAACTTCACCACAGTCACAATCAATTTAAAATAGAACAGATCACTGCAACACGACTGGTCTCCGACAACAGACACTTCCACATTCAACGAAAATAATTTGTTTACTATTGAGCAAGTCCACAACGCACCCTGTGATTCACTCAGAAAAAAAACACTAAACCAACACGTCATATTGCTTATGTAGCCAATAGATGCATTTACCCAATTAAAACCATTGCAATTATGCAAAAAACGATGCAAACATTTTTTTTAGTAAAACACTAGCCAACTCACTCTTATGAACTGACGTGTTATTCATTTGACAATAAATTGTTCTTCCTTTGTAACTAGTGTGAAGATGAAAAACAAGTGCTCGTGCGTGTATTGTTGCGTTGAAGTGTCACTCACCCATCCAGGGGATGCTGTTGGCGGCAGACGCCATGGCTGCACGTGGGGTGAGGTGTGGAGCGCTGCCCAGGCCGTCGACGCGACGTCGCACGTCCTCTCACCCGCACTCGCAACCGCTGCTGCGCTCGCACTCGCGCCCGCTCCGCCTCAGGCCACCGCGCGGGAGCCACTGAGAGAGCTGCCCTGCCAGCGCCAGCGCGGCGAGCGCCGTCGGCAGCGGCGGCGGAGGGGGAAGGAGGAGGGTGTGGAGGGGGGAGGGCCGCGGCGGCGATGACTGACTTCGATGAAGGAGGCCGGGAGCGGAGCCGGTGCACCTATCCCACTAACTACGCTCTCCGGTTGCGACGTCAGCGAGGGAGACAGGGTGACGGTAATGATCAGGGAGGAGGATTTCTATAATTTTGCATATTTTTGCTCATAGCTGCAGGACATAGCCAAGTGAAATGTCTTGATATTTGGTTAAAAATTGAATTCTACTTAGATGAATATGTTGGTGTTTATTTGTGCATAATTGGTCTATTTTACCTGGTCGGGCGTATTCGGGTGTTTATATGCGAATGTTTGGCATATTTCGTTAAAATAAAGACTGAGACTTGTATCTCTGAAACGGTTCATCTTTTCATAGAATCTATTTATTTGTGAGCATATATTGATTTGAAAGAGATTGACACAGTTTGCGTTTTCGTCCTTTCCTCTCATAATCAAATACTTGTTAAATGTAGAATATTTCTGTATATATTTTTTAATCCATTCAGAAGAAATGTCGCTAGGCTTACACTGTACTTCATTTAGGTGAATATGTACTTAAATTATTTCTCCCGCTAAGAACGGTACATTATGAGTGTTATGTTAGCATAGAAATATAAGTTTTCATTCCAAGAATGCTTTCCCTGAAATTTATCAAGGAAATAAAATATGTTTAATTTTCATTGCGTATTAATGTACACATTTCAGAAGTTTAGATGCATATTCGTTGGGGCGTATCTCAAGATTTTTTAGGGGTAAAAATTCTCTCCCTGGTAATGATTTAGCTCGGGGCCAGCATTGCGGCTGTCTCTGCAGCGACTCTAACTGGGAAGTCCTACACTTCGATTTGCATATAGTGTGTTTGTCGTTTGATCACATGCGCGCGGATATCCTTTCGGGAGCTTCGTTACCTTACGGTATGATATGGAACCTCCCGATTAGATAACCGCACCCAGCTGATCGATCATCAGATGTCACTATAATTAAATCGGAGATCATAGTTCGACGGGGACGGATTTTCGACACTAGCTATATAACTAGGTCGAGTTTAGCCGTCGAAGAAGAATACTAGCGGCCTCCTGCTTTGATCGGTAGTTCAATACCAAGCGAATACCGGAGCTTTTTTTTCTTCTTCCTTTGTTCCTTGCCCTTATTCACACACTGCTACAGGACTACACTTCCACACATGTTTGACACCAGTCAGTTGTTTTGGATGTCAGGCGTCGGAGACCAGTTAGGATTGTCCAGGCTTGGGAGGTGCCTTGCTGGGGAAGATACTTTGTTGGGGAAATCCCCCAAGCCGACAGTGGCGCCGGATCTCATTAGAATATTACAACACTATAGTGTTTAATGATTACTATCATATATTTTTCGATCTATTTGTTTGCCAACGCTATCATTATTGTATTATTTATTAACTTTTAATTATTTTACTTTCTCACATTATGTTTATTTTTCGCATCAAATGTTCTTCGATTTCAAATAAGTTTTACAAAAAATTAATTCAGAGACAAATTGTGGTATAAATAGTATTACATAACCATTACTAATGGCGAGAAAGTACGTGCTGAATTTTGCACTCGTTTACCTATTGTTTTCGTAGATTGCCGTCCTGGTTCTCGCGTTTCGTAGTCGTGCTCAATTACGAGTAGGTATTAGTAGTCTTAGTAGGTCTTAGTGGATGTTTTGAAAACAAGTCACATACACCCTCATATTTCCTACTGCACATCAGTCACCGAAAGGAATTATTTTGGTCTCTTACCTTAACGCAAGTATAAAACTGTCAGTCGGTGTCATGCGGAACTGAACCCGCAATGCGCGTGAAGTTCGTGTCTGGTTTGTGGTTGCTTCAAATACATTAATACATTAATTACAGATCTATGGGTGATCTAAGGTGATTCGCCACCTAATCCGTTGAATTGGATTGGTTCGATAAAACGCAAATCGTTATTTCACATCGAAAGTGTATAAATCAAACGACTTCTGTTACGTTTGTGGAAGATTTTCACCCAAGCTTCAAAGGAAAAAATAAAAAAAATTACAAAACATGGGTATTCTTTATTCTTTGGTTGTCGTGTTTGTTGGAGATTATAGCTGGTTTCTTGTCAGAGACGGTAAACAGGAATACAAAAGTAAGTGATAAGGCGCAAAAACATTTTTAAGCAATGCAATATGAATTTCTCCTTCTACGATGTTTCATATTATTACACGGATATGCGTATTCCAGTTTTAACTTGTTCTTACCTCAAATTCTTATAAACGTTTGTAGTAATATAACCGGAGTGACAATGCGGAAAATAATATAGGATTTTGTTTAATTCAAATTCTCAGTGTGTTCATATCTTTTAAACCATGCGCGATAGATACTTGATAATTTTCGAAATCAGCGTGTTCGTTTCCTTTGAAATCACCTACTTTTATCCCGGAAACGAAGTTGTTCCCTAGTGTTAAATGAATCACGAATTATATCAATTTGCTCTAGATAAGCCTCAAACGATTTAAACAAATAGTTACTTAGTAAATTGTAACTTAGTATAATAAATTTAACTTATTCTAATAAATCTGTATAAAAATATTTTTCAGTACTTAAAAATGGCGAAAAATAACGTCGAAACATTGTACTAATTCAGCAAATGCGAGTATAATAATATTTCAATAATTTGTCTTAAATTTAATGGTATATTTTAGTAATAATAATAAATATGACTAATATAATAGTTAATAAATAATAGTATAATAATAGTAAATAATAGTAATAATAGTAATATAGTATAATAGTAATAATAGTAATAATAGTAATAATAATAATAATATAATAATAATAATCCGTCTGATGCCGAGTTGCATAAGGCAGTAGTACCGCCGCGATCTCGGAAAGAAGGCGGGTTCGATTCCCGCTTCGGGAATGGATGTGTTTGTGTGTCTTTTACTAAGAACCCTGGGGGATAAAAAAAGAAATCCTGCTAAAATGCTGATCATTTGATAAAGTTACATACCCCCACCACCGAGATAATGTTACTGAACCCCGGACAGCGTGCATGCAAGCGTGGTCCAAGTCAGCCTATTTGCTAGAAAAAAAGGGGGGAAAGGACGCCCTGAGCCCCCTTTGCTGGTGCATGTTCCTCGCATCTCCCGGCACGTTCATAGTATGTTGCCGTGCGTGTTCCCTGCAGGTTCCTCACATGTTGCCACGCATTATCCTAACATATTTCCCGCAGTGTTCCCTTCATGATTTCCACCGTTTCCCCAATGTACCTCCGCACGTTTCCAGTAGGTACAATGTTTCCCCTCACGTCCGTCATATGTTACAGTAGGCCTAATGTTTCCTCACATGTTCCCCCTATATTCTACTGAACATGAATCCCACACATGTTCATCCATATTTTTCCCAAATGTTCCCCACATGCTTCCTGTATCTTCCTGCACTATATCTGTAAATTTAACTGCAAATTCAAAATGTAAGTTTTCAATTCGAAATACTTTTAATAAACGCCACAGCTGCTGACAATGCAGTGGCTCCTCTGGTGGATGAAATGGAAAGTTCTGAACAGCTAGCGCGCCGAGAAGACCGAAAATCCCAAAGAATGTGGCCCATCGATTTTTCTCAAACAATTGCGGGCTCAAAAATGTGTTAAATCATATTGTTAAAAGTTAAAATACCTTTACAGCAAAAAAATGCACTTACGGGATTCTGTGTCGATGATTTCTTATAAATTGTCGAAAACGTCATCTGTCCTCAGCGGACTATATCTAGAGAGGATATAGTTAAAGTATATTATTTTTTATGCTTTTCAAAATAATTTATTTTCTTGAACTGACAATCTTTTGTTTTATTTAAATATTATACAATTATAAATAAGGCAAAGGTGGCACAGGGCATCAGTGCAGTCACTGCACAGATGTCACTGCAGTGCCTCTGACCGGGAGGTACTAGGGTTCGGAAGGTTTTCCTACACGCTAAGTCGAATTCAGCCGCTGGGGAATTCTGGCGGTCGGCTGATCTGATCGGTAGTTTTCTGTGGTTTCTCCGATTAAACACCAGGCGAATGACGGAGCAGTACCCTAACTAACAGGCCACGAAACGCGTGCGGTCTTTCCTTCCTCTTCCTTGTCCTATCCTCACCCAATATTTGCACATACTTACACTTACACGAACTGCACTATCACGCATGCCGGGAGAGTAGTCGTGAGTTTAGAGCTTGTCCCAGTTAGTATCAGGTTTTCAGTCCTGGCAAAAAATGAAAAATTTACCTGGGGATCCTTTTCCCTTCTGAAACTCCCCTTCCTTCATTCCGTCCTTATTCACATCTTTATAAAAAAAATTATGCGTATTCCATTAGAGATTATTAGCATTACCCAGCAGACATCACGAGGAGGTTTTGCTCTTCGTAAATTTCAGTTATGGAACTGTCATGCGACACACACAAAGGGGCGTTTTCTGAAAGCAGGTCCATTGCTGAATCTCACTCATCAGCATTTAATGAAATTGATATTTAAGTCCATTCGCTGTAAAGATATTTTTGTTAGGTCTCATCATGACAACCACAGCTCAGCAGGACAGTCTTTTAAGAAGAGTGAGTCTGAAGTGAGAAAATGTCTTTGTTTTGATGAATTCCCCATTTAAGGGCGTTGGCTGAGGACCAGGAAGAACGATACCCAACTAGACAGCCTTTTCGGCAGCGGCGGAACTGAAAACCTCCGACAATACCGAAAAGAGGAGCCTGTTACTCAACTGGTTTTCACCCCGCTATCCCTCCCCTCTGAAAAAGAAAAGAGGACAGGTTTAGTTCACTTAATCCTCCTCCGTACATTATCCGGTAATTTGTTATTCGAAGTCAAGTCGGAAGTTTAGTAGTATTCCTTGCCTGGACCACTGAAACAACATTTGAGACAAACTCACGTTGGACGAACAGTCACTC